TAAGATTCTTGAATGACCAACAGTTAAAATAACAAGGATTTCAGGGATGTTTGAAAATTTGGGTATGGTTAGAAACAACTGTAAACAAACTGTATTCATATTATTTACTACAGAAACTCATACACTATAGTTATAACTAAATGTTGCTTAAGTCCTCTTATTTTATTAGTATACAGGTTTCAGTCTGCAATTGAAAATATCGTTGACAATCATTAGAAATTATTAATACAAATATTTAGGGACTTAAAAACATTGCAAAAATTACAGTCACGGAACAGGACCAAACCATTACATTACTGTAAGTATTTGACCGATTTACGACATTATAAAAATCACTCAAGTTAATTTTACAAACTTCTTGCCTTGCTTGCAGTTATGCAAAGTTAGTTCTTTAAATGACAATTTGGATTACTTTTCCTCTGAAATGAGGGCACATTTTAACTTAATTTATTGTTTGAGTAATATATTTGCAGGATGTCTAAAACATGACCACAAATAGTGATTAAAACTGGGAGAACAAAAAAAAAATTTGATCATGTTTTGTGTGTATATCATGTGCAAACAAGAAACAGTAATGCCTGCACTAGATTAGGGGGAAAAGGAAAGCTTGGTAGGATTTAAAATACCGTATTTTTCGGACCATAAGACGCACCTGACCATAAGACGCACCTAGTTTTTAAAGGAGGAAAACAGGGGAAAAAACATTCTGAACCCTGGGGCTGTCATTCCAGTTCCTGAACACTCCTGGCCCTGTCATTCCAGTTCCTGAACACTCCTGGCACACCCTGGGGCTGTCAATCTACTCTGTGGCCTGTCATTCCAGTTCCTGAACACTCCTGGCACACCCTGGGGTTCTCATTCCACTTCGTGGCCCTGTCATTCCAGTTCCTGAACACTCCTGGCACACCCTGGGGCTGTCAATCCACTCCGTGGCCCTGTCATTCCAGTTCCTGAACACTTCTGGCACACCCTGGGGCTGTCATTCCACTCTTGGCCCTGCCATTCCAGTTCCTGAACACTCCTGCTCCACCCTGGGGCTGTCAATCCACTCTGTGACCTGTCATTCCAGTTCCTGAACACTCCTGCTCCACCCTGAGGTTGTCATTCCAATCCGTGGCACCACGATTTCTGTGGTGCAGGCCTTGGCCATGGACAAGGCATATTATTTAATGGTGATGTTGGGTTGACACAGTGCAAAAATCGTAAGGATCCAAGAGGATCCGTGGGTAAAAACCATGTTTTTGCAGAATGGTGTTGCCACAGAGCCGTGGCACTGTGATTTCTGTGGTGCAGGCCGTGGCCATGGCCATGATATGTGATTTGATGTTGTGTTGGGGGTGACCCAGTTAAAAAACCCTGAGGATCCATGAGGATCCGTGCTTTGGAACCATGTTTTTGCAGAATGGTGTTGCCACAGAGCCGTGGCACTGTGATTTCTGTGGTGCAGGCCGTGGCCATGGCCATGATATGTGATTTGATGTTGTGTTTGGGGTGACCCAGTTAAAAAACCCTGAGGATCCATGAGGATCCGTGCTTTGGAACCATGTTTTTGCAGAATGGTGTTGCCACAGAGCCGTGGCACTGTGATTTCTGTGGTGCAGGCCGTGGCCATGGCCATGATATGTGATTTGATGTTGTGTTGGGGGTGACCCAGTTAAAAAACCCTGAGGATCCATGAGGATCCGTGCTTTGGAACCATGTTTTTGCAGAATGGTGTTGCCACAGAGCCGTGGCACCGTGACTTCTGTGGTGCAGGCCGTGGCCATGGCCATGATATGTGATTTGATGTTGTGTTTGGGGTGACCCAGTTAAAAAACCCTGAGGATCCATGAGGATCCGTGCTTTGGAACCATGTTTTTGCAGAATGGTGTTGCCACAGAGCCGTGGCACTGTGATTTCTGTGGTGCAGGCCGTGGCCATGGCCATGATATGTGATTTGATGTTGTGTTTGGGGTGACCCAGTTAAAAAACCCTGAGGATCCATGAGGATCCGTGCTTTGGAACCATGTTTTTGCAGAATGGTGTTGCCACAGAGCCGTGGCACCGTGCTTTCTGTGGTGCAGGCCGTGGCCATGGCCATGATATGTGATTTGATGTTGTGTTTGGGGTGACCCAGTTAAAAAACCCTGAGGATCCATGAGGATCCGTGCTTTGGAACCATGTTTTTGCAGAATGGTGTTGCCACAGAGCCGTGGCACCGTGCTTTCTGTGGTGCAGGCCGTGGCCATGGCCATGATATGTGATTTGATGTTGTGTTTGGGGTGACCCAGTTAAAAAACCCTGAGGATCCATGAGGATCCGTGCTTTGGAACCATGTTTTTGCAGAATGGTGTTGCCACAGAGCCGTGGCACCGTGCTTTCTGTGGTGCAGGCCGTGGCCATGGCCATGATATGTGATTTGATGTTGTGTTTGGGGTGACCCAGTTAAAAAACCCTGAGGATCCATGAGGATCCGTGCTTTGGAACCATGTTTTTGCAGAATGGTGTTGCCACAGAGCCGTGGCACCGTGCTTTCTGTGGTGCAGGCCGTGGCCATGGCCATGATATGTGATTTGATGTTGTGTTTGGGGTGACCCAGTTAAAAAACCCTGAGGATCCATGAGGATCCGTGCTTTGGAACCATGTTTTTGCAGAATGGTGTTGCCACAGAGCCGTGGCACCGTGCTTTCTGTGGTGCAGGCCGTGGCCATGGCCATGATATGTGATTTGATGTTGTGTTTGGGGTGACCCAGTTAAAAAACCCTGAGGATCCATGAGGATCCGTGCTTTGGAACCATGTTTTTGCAGAATGGTGTTGCCACAGAGCCGTGGCACCGTGCTTTCTGTGGTGCAGGCCGTGGCCATGGCCATGATATGTGATTTGATGTTGTGTTTGGGGTGACCCAGTTAAAAAACCCTGAGGATCCATGAGGATCCGTGCTTTGGAACCATGTTTTTGCAGAATGGTGTTGCCACAGAGCCGTGGCACCGTGCTTTCTGTGGTGCAGGCCGTGGCCATGGCCATGATATGTGATTTGATGTTGTGTTTGGGGTGACCCAGTTAAAAAACCCTGAGGATCCATGAGGATCCGTGCTTTGGAACCATGTTTTTGCAGAATGGTGTTGCCACAGAGCCGTGGCACCGTGCTTTCTGTGGTGCAGGCCGTGGCCATGGCCATGATATGTGATTTGATGTTGTGTTTGGGGTGACCCAGTTAAAAAACCCTGGGATGCACAAGCCCTGCGACTCACACATGGCTGGCTGGCTGAGCGTGGGAAGGAGAGAGAGCCCTGCTGGCTGGACGCTTGCAATACTCTTAACTTTTGCCATGGGCATGTCCCACATTCGGTTCATAAGACGCACACTCTTTTTCCATCACTTTTTTTTGAAGAAAAAGTGCGTCTTATGGTCCGAAAAATACGGTACACATTTTAAAAAAAGATGTTTACCACTGCTAAATCTCTCATTTCCTTCTCCAATTTTGTACTAAAATTGGATCAATACTACTTTACAAAAACTCATAGTAAACATATGAGCCAGAAGTTGTGTTCTACTCTTCAGCTGCGTTAAAGCACTGATGTAGTCGGAGATGGGGGAAAAACCCTTAATTTATTGTTAAAATACAATGGAACATACTTTCATGAATACCAGAACAATGTTTCACATACAACAGTTTTTCTACATGAAGAATCTCTGGATAGGAAAATACATATTTACTATACAGCATTAAATATGGCACGAGTGGTTCTTTACCATCAGTGTCCCAATCAGACAATCAAATTACATGCTTCTCTGTTCAGACACTGGGCTGCATCCTGCATTTCCCTTCCCCAGCAGTCCTTTCCAACCCTCTTCCAGAGCTGCTCTGAGAGAACTGGCGGAAAAGGTGATTTTGCTACATGCATGGCTGTTAGACCCTGAAAATAAACTTTCCCAAGGTCAGAAGACACTGTCGGGGAAAGAGAATGCAGGAAAGACGGTTGCCAGCAACATCCACTGATGGATCCAAACCACTATATCCAACAGAAAAATAAAGATAGAAAGCACATGCTCAGATCTTGCATATCTTTCTAACAAGAGATGGAAAACCTCAGCCCTACTTCCAGGACTAGATTTAGTAAAATGTCCCCTAATATACAAGCCATTAATCAATGCAGTGGTGGCACATTTATACATTTTTTTAGCCCCAGAAACCATGTATATTCTTGTTCTACACACACTCAGAATGGTTATGGCATGTGCATATGTTAACTCCCCACTAGTTTAACGTTTCCAAAGACAAGGTTTGAGTACGCAAATAACTGACAGCTTCCAATTCCATGAACAGCAAATGCGAAAGCCCTTCTAAAACTTAACTGACAATTGGTAGAGGGGTAAAACCCATCAGTTTTATTATTGAGGAAATACAGATATTATGCACATTATAATACAGTGTATGAACATAACATCTTTACATATATACACACACACACAAAGATTGCAGGCAACAACTGGCAGAGGTTAATCTGAAAACATAAGACTAAACATTGTCTATCATAGAAACTGATTATTCACTTCAACACAAATTTAAAATTCACACAGTGTAACATTATATATGGCTTTATTAAGCTAAAAAAGGTAATATAATTATGATGGGCTTTGCCAAATTAGAAAGTAAGCTGCCCCCCGATATAAAACTATGGCCCCGGTCACACGGAGCATTAGGCACGCTAGAGAGACGGAAGATAGGCGGATTTTCCGGGCGCAATCTCACCGCCATATCTGGGAAGCGTAGAGCTCCCATGGCGCACCCGAGGCTTCCCGCCGAAGATGCGGGGTAAAAAACTAGTACCTCGGAGGTAGTAGTTTCCGGAAACCGCGGGGCAAGGGCGGGCGTCTGGTCGCGTTTCTGGTGGTAGTTCTGGCGCCCGCCCATGTCCCCTCGCAAAAAGGTTTTTTCCCCCCAAGTCTCCATGGATGCACACAAGCACCCAACGGAGCGTGCGCACATTTCAGTTTTAAAAACAAAACACAACCCCGTTTGCCGCGCTGCTCCACTTCTTTGCTGCGTGTGATTGGCACCTCCCCCCTAACCATGGGAGCTCGATAGGACCTCAACCCGAAGCCTGATCGTGCAGTCGCGCGTTAGTTTGCTCCGGGGCAAACAGCCACGCCTCCCCCCCCCCCGCATTTTCCTGCCCGTGTGGCCGAGGCATAGTTTAGTATTCCTTTACCACAAGTAAATGAAGCAGCATTAAATGTATTTCATCAGCTTTATGCATGACTTGATAATTGCAGAAACTCAAGGTGGTGGTGGAAGGGGGAGAAACTGCTAACAGCTGCAGCCCCTAAATTTACTGGCACCATATCATCCAGCCCCTTTTGATAGATACTCATAGAGCTTCTTGGGAAACAGTATCAGAGTTCTATGGGAGAACTTCCTCCACAGGTCTCAGGAGTGGGTAGCATAATGGATACTTCAAAAGGTCTCAGATATCTAATGATTCATGATGCATTTTTGTTTTTTCCTTCAGAGTGGTTTTTTCCCCATTTCAGCTACAGAAAGTTAGGTATGTCAAGGCAGTTTTTTGAGCAATCCTTACGGCAGTTTTTAAAAAAATATAACCCTGCTTGGATGAAAGGGGATAGGATATAGGCTTCCTTTGTTCACATTATAAATGATACACAGAGCCTGCAGCAGAACACACAGGAGACTAAATGTTGGCCTCTGATATTCTGAACAGCTTCCATGGATTAAGCCCATTTTACAGATTGCTTTTAGTGAAACTAACAGCTCGATCATTTCGGATGTATGACGTTATAATTTCTAGTTGTTAATGTATGGGAGTCAGAAATGGAGTTTCCTAGTTACTGCAATTAGTACAATATAAAAGCTAATCATTTGTATTAAGAGTCCTCTGGTGCAGGAGGAAAATGCTGACATCTGATATATTTTAAGACGTTACTTTTTTTCTAAATAAAAACAGAGATCAGCCTTCTGTTCTCAGCAGTTTAGCAGATTTATGCAAGCTACACAAGCACTTATGTGGCACGCCAAGCTGTTTAGCAAAGTTGTCCAGCAAAACAGCTGTCAACAAAATTAGACAGCTGTATATCTGATTTTAATTCATATATCTCAATGGTTAGTTTATAAATTCTTTGAGCAAACAGTTCTATCAATATTCTCAAACCTAACTCCAAAGATTTACTGAATGCCACTAACGCATTGCAAGCTCATTGTCAATTACTTGGACACACATATACTGTTCTCATCTTTAAATGGAAACATTTGTTACATGGACAATTACACCCACTCCAATTGCTAGCCTGCATTAGTTTTGCAGTCACCATTCAAGGAAGTCATCAAAAATATGTTGAGAAGCTAAGGCCAATAACATCCATTGCAATTTCAAATAAAAGTGACGAAAATCATTTCATCTAAAACACTATCGTGATTTTTCTGGTTTTGCACTACTTATTTTCCCCGGGCCATTTAGAATCATTTAGCAGCAAATAGCAAGATACCTATTTAAAGCACATTTTGAAAATGAAGAGTAAACTCATACTTAATTTATGCAGATATTTACGTCATTAAGATCGCCCTGGTAACCAAAAAAAGTCCATAAACTCCAATTCTGCTACAACCATTAAACATTATTCCTTACAGTATGAAAGAAAGTCCGTATCTACATTATGCAAGTGCAGGAAAAGAAAAATGAAAGTTCAAAATATGAAGTCTCATCTAATAAAGGAAACCCTCCACCTTTGTTTCTTCTGCATTCTATGCCATCTCATCTCAGACAACATGTCCAAAGACGACTCCGGAAGTCAGCTCATGCTTCAGATTCAAGTTTCTTCTTCCCTTCTTCTCCCAAATCACTGTCTTCTGACTGGCTACTAAGGACAACAAATTGGCCCTCTCCAGCACTCTGATTAGATCTACTAGAAGCAGCTATTAGACGGCTTTGCTCTTCCAAGTCCTGAAAGGAAAAAAGGTATTGACTTGGATACTCTCTATTTAAATAGGTTACCCAAGTACCTCTCATTATTGTGTGCATCTGAACAGCACAGTTATTTTCAGCAGCAAACCCCCCTAAATCTCCAGGTATTTCCCAACACAGAGCTAGCAACCCAGCCTCAAATCTACTACAAGTCAGATTCGTTGGGGAGCCTAGGGTTCTGATATTAGGAAAGATAAAGGAAGTGCTATCCATTTTTCCCCACCAGGCATTATTTTTGTAAGTCTACTGCATGTGACCAAGCCCAGATGTGTATAAAGGAGTCTCTGAATGACAGACAGTATTTACCCACACTTCCCATCAGCTCTATTCTTTTGATACAGCCTTAGGACAAATCTTTTTCCTTCATAACAGCAGTTCAAAACAAGCCAATAAGTGTAATGTCTCCTGAAGAAAAAACACGAACCTGAAAATTAGACATTAATGCTAACATACCTTTTCAATTTGCTTTTGTTTGCTGAGCTCCTTTTGTTGTTTCTCTTTCACCCTCTCTATTTCTTTCTGTTTTTCTGAGGTTCTGCGATCCTTATGAAAAAAAAAGCATAATGAGGGTTAATAACTGATTAAATTCACATAATCAAATAGGTGGAGTAAATTTACATTATGGTATGTTTTGCTACTGAAAAAGTCTTACCATCAAAGAAATGATGCAAGTAGCCAATCTTTTAACAAATGTCTGCCGATGCCCTTCAAGACTAACTGTATGCAGGATCTTGCCAAGTGACACCCCAATCAAAGTACAGAAGAAAAATAAACCACCACACCAACCACATTTTTACACCACATACTGCAGGCCACACTGCTAGTTTACAAGGGATATTTTGCCCTCTCTGCACTGCTGTGATATTTTCTACAAATCTTTTATTAGACATAGAGTTTATGCTCAGAGATGATGGCCTTCATGTCTATAAACCACTGAAGTACATGAGAATCTAAAGAAGCACATTCTCAAAAGACATCTTTTGGATAGGGATTTTTATAAACCTGAAAAGTAGTTGCAGGAAACTTGGTTTTTCTAGGTAAGGGAAGATTAAAAACAATATCCTGTAATGGCCTAAGGAATTCTAAAACAATCCTCCAGGGGTCATTTCGTAGAAAAAGAGCTAGGGGAACTCATTAGCATAACTCATTAGCATATGCCACACCCCTCACATCACCGGAAGTGTGTCATAAGGCCACACCTCCTGACATCACCGGAAATGTGTCATAAGGCCACACACCCCGCCCCCAACGGTCCCGGCCGCTGGTGCCGGCCTTGCAGCTCCACTGCCGAGCCCCATGAGGGGCCCGGCGGTGGACCTGCAAGGCCGGCGGGAGTGCAAGAAAGCCCCGCAAAGGCCCTCCCTGGCCCCAGGCAGGCAGGGGTGGAGAGTCCCTTAAGGAGGAGGCTTAGCTAGGTGGTCTTCAGATTTCCTTTAGCTCTACAGTCCTATGGTACGTTCACAAAACCTATTGATTTTATAGCCACTGAAAAGCTTACCACTTCAGCATGAAATGCAATCTGTTTTGCAAGTCCTACGGAGTCACATATCTAAATGGGAATAAATTAGAAGACACTAAGAATGATAAAGATGACCATCTTTTAATTTGTCTTTAAATCAATTCTCTAAAGTTTCAGAGTGGTTTGATATACTCAAGAAATTTATTGTAGCAGTACCTTTTCCCCTTCATTGTTTGATTCAAATATATAGCATACTGAAGTCGGTCTGCTATCTGGTCTCCCTGATGAAGTTCGAAGCACAAATCCGAAAAGGCGTTTGTTTTCCTGATGTGTAGCATACAGAGCTATATTTGGCAAAGGAAACTTTTTAACAAAAACAAAAATGAAATTTAAAATTCATTGGATACCAGACAGCAATGTACTGTAGCTTACTTTGAAAATATATGAGCTTACAAAAGAAGAAAAGTAATCAACATGAAACAGGTGTGGAGTAAAATGGTTTAACATTAAGTTTGAATGCTCAAGGGATTGCTACAGTTTAATTTTGTTCGGCTGAAGAGATGTCCATTTACTCCTTAAGAATAAATTACAATAGGCATATAAAACATATGACATGACACACATTTTTTAGGCTTGACCAATACCACCATAACTATTTTTGAATATTTAAATACTCACAATTATTCAATTGTCTTACAAAAACCCTTTAAGACAAGATAATACCATTACACTTTTAACAATCAGGGGAGGGGAGGGGAGCTGAGGCTCAGAAAGTGGCATGCCCAAGATCAGCGTGTGAGTTTATGGTTCAGATTTGAACCAGAGATATCTCAGCTCACAATGATAGCCTCTGGCAGTTTTTGTACTAGCGCACAACTTTCTACAGTTATGTACAAAAAAGACATACCTCATAACATTTTATAGAACTACAACGAGCAAAGGAAAACGGGTCTGGAAGTACAGATTCTTCTTGCCCCCTTTTATCTTCTGCAGTCTACCCCCTTCCCCACAACAACAACAAACAGCTTCTAAGGGTTTGGGAACCTTCGGGAATAAAGTGGGATGCAGCGAAGGAGGCTACAGCTCAAGTAGAAACTGCCCAATGGAGTAAACACCTCCACATGTGCAGGCACAAAAACAAACTAGCAGAAGTGCCTTTGGATTCAACCCCATGTTGCAGTGATGTTGCATTGAAAGTACTTCAGAATGGAGTGCCTGCTACTTCATGGTAAATTACACACAGGCTTATTTTGGATTTACTCTGATTTTTGTTGTAATGTATGGTTGACAAAAAGGAGAAAGCACAGGCTGCACTGAAACATCAGAATAATTTCCTAAATTTGATTGCTTTGATATTAGCAACTTACCCTGAGTCTTGTAACTTGTGTCTGTGGATCAATTAACCTAGAAGTGTTAATTTAAAAAGTTACTGTACACAGAAAAAGAACTACATTAAATTTGCTTCACAAAGTGTGTGTTAGTTTTGCAAAGTACACTTACTTTAAACAGTCACATGTGACTAACAGATGTGATTCTGTCATTCTGAAAATGTTATGTATAGCTCGAGCTGCTAGTATTTGGCGCATAGTTTCATAAACCACATCAGGATTTTCATCAGACTTCACTTCCATGGATCCAAGGAATCTTACAATAAATAACTGATGAAGGATAGAATCTGTAACAAACATACATGAAACAAACGGCATAAACTAATTCTGGAATTTCCAGTATAATATTGCTCTTCGTATGTCCAACAGAATTTTCATGTGATGCAAGCCATATTTATAACCACAGGACACCCTCCAACTCTTTGTATACTTTAATAAAAATACATTTACTAAAAATCCAAAACAGACCTAAGTTGTAAAGTTTTTGCACCAATATATTTGAAAGCAGCCCCTTTGGGGACTACTTTCAAATATATTGGTGCAAACACATATTAAAAGATTAGATAGGAACTCAATATAAATTTTAGCAAGTGTGAAGCAATCATGCAACCTGGGAGTATATGGGAACAATACAGTACTCAACATAACCAACACTTTCATAAAAAGGGAAGAGTCAACAATATCCGGTGAAAAGATGGTGCGGTCCTGTAATTTATCCCATTTTTGTCTCATTTTTCCTCCAGAATTACAGGGTGACAGTCTGTTTTCCCTACTATTTTATCATAATGCAGTGAAATAGGCTGAGGAAAGAGAGTGAGTGTGCATGTGTCTGGCCCACTAAGCTTCATGGCTGAGAAGGTATTTGAACCGGCATCTCCTTAATTCTAGTTTAACCCCTACACAACACTATGACACTCTAAGAATTTACTATCTTCCCTTACTGCTGCCCCCTTCCTTTTACGGAACCACTGCAAAGGCCTTCATGGATAATAATTGTATCCGTGCGGAACTACCTGCACAACAATACAAACTGAAGCTCAGACAAATTCAAGACTAACCAGGCACCAACTAGATTGATTGCTTACGGCAAGGCAGCAAGTGTACAGAGCAACGGCTTAAAATTTGAGTCAGATGGATCTAGGGATACAGTAACAGTTACTAGGGAGGCCTGAGCTTCACACTCCAGCCCCAATAAGTATGTTGCTGGGCCAGGATGAATGACTCCAACATTATCAATGAAATACAAACAAAATCAAGCCGCATGAGGAGTAAAAGGATCCAATAACAAAAAGCTGTGGTTAGCTGGTTCACTGAACCTTGCATAGCATTTCTGGAGAATCTGTGGCCTACCACTCTTTTGCAAAATTCTGCTTTCCTTACAGCCCTTCACAAAGGCTCAGACTATCCTGTGGACTAATGCACTTACTTTCATTATTTCCTTTCCTAGCTCATGGACAGGCATCTCAAGCTGAACATTCAATTGCACTGCACAATCTGCTTGCCTTGGAGAAACCCATATAGAAAAATAAACATCTGAAACCTCGTGCCACAGAGGGAATATTTGATCATGTGCTTATGTACCAAGTAAAGTTTCAGCATAAAACTACTTGCCTATGTGCTCTTTTCATCCTTCTCACAGTCATATACGAAATTATTTCTTGTAATTATTTTAATTCAGAACTCACTGCTTCAAATGAACACTCTACTCTTCAAAGACATTAACCTACAGGTTATATTAAATGCATTTCAGATTTAACTGAAATTCTGCATTACCTTCTGTTTCTGATTTAACCCCTCCAGATTCTCCAAAAGGGTTTGTACGCCTGTCAAGAAACCCAAAAATACTGTATCAGAAATCAGTGTATAAGCATCACTAATAATCTGTGTGCACTGTAATGAAAGAAGCAAACAAAATCTCAAGGCTGTAGATTTTGAAAGATTCATAACAATGAGCTTCAGAATACAGCATCACTGGAGATTATTTATACAAACTGCTCAGCAGGTAGCAAGTGGAAGGACACCCCCCACCCTACTCAGCACTGCTCTACTTGAAGATCACAGCCAACCCTGGACCAAACTGTCATCTTAATTCTGGTCTGGCAAAAGAGTTGATTTTCTTTCACTTTGGGGGTGATGGGGGGGAGGCAATCTTGATCTAGGCCCAGCAAAAGACACTGCTTTACACAAAACTGCATGCTGTCCCATTTGTTATCTATGGAAATTATTTGCTTACAAGAAGTCACCATTTCAAGTCCAGTGTTCTAAAACTATTAATAGGATTTCAATATTAATCAAGAGAAACATGGCTATATCTGACTCTCAAACACCATTATTCAAATTATATGCAAGTGAAAATACTCTAGGCTTCCAGTCTTAGAGGCAAAGGAAAGGTGTTACCAAAAAGGCAGAGGTGAAGAAGGTGAACTAGACATTGCATAAAAAGAGGACATGAAATTCTTTTAATGAGGTAATCTACTTTGTAACACAGAGGAAAAGAAATCCAAGGCACATTCTATAATTATCCAAAAGGAAGATGACAGCGAACATAAAAAAGGTTATTCGCTAAAGTTTATTATTGCACATACCTGAACTTTTATATGAATTTAAACTACCCGCTGTTTTTTCTGGAAGTACTTCCGAGAAAAGGGGGGATTAATTTTCCTTTCAGGTAAATATGTAATTTTTGACAAATGGCAAGAAACATGTAAATCTGAATGTTAGATTATTTAAGCATGAGCTCCATGAGGAACAAATCACCAACCTCACCTAAATTGTGCTACAAATACATTAAAAACAATTACATGGGGAACTTCAGATATAGGTATGTTAGTCCAACAAATACTATGATGAATTTAACCTGTCACTGCATTTGGGTGTTTTCTTACTGGAGTTTATAAAAGCCATTCAGACTAACTAACTGAAAACATCTCTTCAGTGGAATTAGCCTTATCTGAAAAGTCTCTCATGGCCATTAAACTTCATGAGAATTGAGCTAGAAAATTATCACCCCAAGGATTTCAATTCCACAGAAAGCTGCCCCATACTACAAAGCTCAGCAGCAGCATTTCCAAGTGAAGCTGTTTGTAACTCCCCAAGAACAAAGTTCAAGAGACATCCAGAGTCAAGTGAAGTTCTGCTGTGGCCATTCCACCTTGGTACCAGCACAGACAACCATCACCATCAAAGCTACGTCATGGACACTTGTTATTAAAGAGACTCCATGCTGCTTCTACTACTAACAGTTCAGCCAGACTAGCTCTTCTTTGCTTTGGTTCAGAAAAGGATAATGGCGCCATCTCAGTCATAGATAGCAATCATTTTCTGTCTGGGTTAGCCTTCAGTGGCCTGTTATCTGCAGAGTACAACAAGCATAACAAACAGTGGCTCTCTTCACTGCCAATTCTATTCAGACTAGAAGTGTCTGTTTGCATTGCTCCAGGACACGTAGTATGACCATTATGCCTGAAAGCTTCTTCCTTATCAATCTTCCTCTGTCCCGCATTAAGGCTTGTTTTCATGTTGCAACAGTACATTCACTGGAACGAACTAGATCATGCCTACTGCTTGATCAATGTATCAAACTGCTGCCAAACATCTTTTGCATGATGTAGTCTGGTTATAGCTCTGTTTATGGGGGAGGCAAACATTTCTAATGCTATAAAGAATCCTCACACACAAATATTTTAATTTTAAACCATATTTTTGAACAAGACTGAATCTGATGGGAGGGGAGATATACTCAACACAATTGCTTGTTTATCTCCCTATCAAATGTTACTCCAGAAGCCTAGATCATTTTCACTCACCTTTTTAGCTTAGGAAGAGAGTCATCAGTATGCCATCACCACCTGGAAGCAGGGCTATCACATTTCTCTTGAGTTTCCAAGAGGAAATACCCAAGGTGCTGAGGCAAGCAAGCAATAGGAAAGGAAAATATACTTTTTAAAAAACAAAAACGTTAAAGACCAAGCAGGATGAAAAAAACTGCCAAAAGGAATGAGACAGTGCACACAGAATCGGAAATTCCTGAAATTTACAGAATTGTGTTAGATTCTTCTTCTCTTACCTCACGTGATCTCATGCAGACAAAATTCTCCTGGACCCTTAGCCACAGTCCTCAGGATTATGGCTTTCCCTCTGCTAGCCTGGCCCTTTCTATGCATAAATTCTACCCACTGGCTCAACTACAAATAAGAGCTATATCAGTGCCAAGTTTAAAAGTGGTTCACACTAATCTGGACTCATTCTTAACCAGGGATTTGGACCATTTCTCAAAACTTGGTAGAGTTGCCAGCTCTGGCTTGGGAAATTCCTGGAGATTTGGGGGTGGAGCTAGGAGAGGGCTTAGTGCCATGCAGGACACCCTCCGAAGCAGCCATTTTCTCCAGAGGAACTGTCACCTGGAGATCAGTTGTAATTCTGGGAGATCTCCAGGCCCCACCTGAAGTTTGACAACCCTAAAACTTGGTATTAAACCCTAGTTAAAAGTGAATTCTGCTTATAGTCAGCAATGACAACTAGCTGTATTGGCATAACCCTTAAATCATAGTTAAGGCTGTCAGAGAGAGCAAGGGAAACTCATGCTAAGGGAAGCACTGGGAACAGAGCATATGATCCAGCCCACATTCATTCCTTGAACTGAAGGCATGATAGATTGTAGGATAGCATCATCAACCTTCAGTTTTGCTTTTGTAACAGCAAACACTTTTGTCTTACATCCTACCTGCCTGACTGTCCTGAGGATTTTGCCTGGCCAGGTTGATCTTCGCTCACTGGAGAAATGATGTCAAACTGTATAGGTGTGTCAGGTGCAACAAGTGAATCCAAAGAAAGCGCTGACAGAGATGCTGAATCAGATCCCAAAGACCCAGTGCTGCTAGTACGATTTGTGGGAGGACGGGACTGTCTAAAAAAATGAAGCAAACCAGAAGAAAATATGTTAAATTATGCAGTATGCCAAGCATTAAGGGGGGGGGGGAAGCAGCACTGAAGTCATCATCATAACATAAATCTATTCTGTATTACTTTAGCAGACTGACAATCTGAAAACATTTAGCGGCAGAAAAACCCACTTCAAGGAGTAGGATTCTCCTACAAAAACAGATTCAGGATCACTGCATGATGAAGGCAAATCTTACTTTTTCTGGTAAGAAAATGGACTTGTCCACAGGATGGGGCAGGGCCATGGGGGAGGTTGTTGTGGACAAGATGCCCCTTCCAAGGATTCCTGCAGTCCCGTTCCCCCCCCCATACTCCCTCCTTCTTTCTTTAGCCTCAGAGCAGGCAAGGGCCTTGTGTGCCACCATGCCAGTTCTAGGGCTTGATTGGGGAGAGTCCAGAACACCCTCCCTGCCCCCACCCGGCCACTCCCTCCTCTGTTGAGGTATGGCCTATTGTACGCCCAAGTATGAGGCATGAAGGACCCATGCAGAGTGAACAAAAAAGACTAACTAAACAAATACTTTAACAGTTAAGTAAGAGAACAGTTATGAAACTAGAAGGAAATTAACACAGGGTACTCTACAAGCATGCAGTGCAAAACTTCCATGGAAGAATGCCAGCTAGAGAACAATCAAGTTCCCAAACATAATTGATTTTCAAGTAACTTCAGCAATCAGACAACTAGAGCTCAGTGGAACCACCTTGGTCTACAGAGCCTGATTTTTAAACACTTTGCAACTTACACTGCTGGCCTCATGCTCTCATGTCTCTGCTGGAAGGAAGGTGAGGGGGTGACCGCCTCTAGAGCTGACTGATTTACACGTGCAGCAATTTCCTATGTTGGTTTTTTTTGGGGGGGGGGGAATAAAACCACAATTAAATATTTCCCTTTAAATAAATATTGTCCATTGTTAGTATTTACACAGGAGACCACCAAGGAATATCAGGGCCACTACACAGATGCAGGCAATGGCAAGCCACCTTTGAACGTCTCTTGCCTTGAAAACGGCAAGGGTTGCCATAAGTCATCTGTGACTTGAAGGCAAAAAAAAAAAATTACAATTGCATGTGGGCAATACAGACTTCTTGCAACCATGTGTCATGAGAGCTCCATCACAATCATACCCCACACTTTCATATTTTAATTGCTTCTATGAACACTTACACAGGATTTTTGCTACACCACAGGGTAACTGCCTTGTCTAATTAGACATTAGCAGAAAGACAAGAGTATCAAACACATATTACTAAACAAAAAGTTCAGACTATGGAGGAAACCATTCACATGTCTCAAGGCTGTTTCATATACTTATTTATTTAATTAGATTTATATCCCCCCCTCCCCGCAAGCCAGCTCAAGGCGAGTCACAACAGTTGGAATAACAATACAATAATACAGTACAAACAGAATTAATATGTTAAAATCAACAGCACACACACACACATATATGTAAGCTAATTCAGATCAAACTCTACAGTGAAAATGTGTTGTTTCTGATGTATTTGCTTTGCATAGCACCAGATATGCCTCTTTCTCACATATATATAGACATATTATGAGCTTGGTCTTGTCACACATTATCTATCTGAGCTAGCAATTCGGACAAGGCTTAGCCCATCCACTAGTCCACAGCCAACAGACATCAGCAAAGGCTGTGCACCCCATTGTCAACATGCCTGGCCAGGTGCTCTATCATCAAACTGGGTGTATAAAAAGCTTTAGCCTTGACAGACCTCCTGTCTTAGTTTGTGGCCTCAAATTTCTAGTTAAGTTTCTACCGTGCAGATTGATCCACACATTTTGTTAATTAAAAAACAATACACAAATTATTTAAAATGAAAAAGTTAATCTTGAGTAATCAGGACTATACTGTCATAATAGTCCTACTAAGTTCCACAGACCTCTGTCAACTCAGCACTGTCAGAGTAATTTCGTGAAAGATTTTTTTCATACTTATCACTACTCCATGCTGTGATTTGTATTATATCATACCCCTTTGATGAGGCCAGCTTCAAGTTTCTAGATTTAATACTTTTTCTGCTGTGTTAAATCTTCAGAATGTCAAAAATTCAGCTACATTGAAGACATTCTTATATTGGCTCAGTTCAAATTTCATAATACACCATAGTTTAACATGAAATAACAACACAGTGGCCTGATTCAGACAAGAGAGAATGAAGTGTTTTGAACATAAACATCAGTTTTAAAAGGAAGGTTCATAAACCTTGCTGTGAACAACTGGTTCAGAAAACATTCCTCTTGATCCTCCTCTTGATCAACAGACTGAATTTTGTTCCAAGGGTCATCTGACAGTGAAGTTTACACATAAAAGTTAATTTTAACATGACAATATTACCTCTGGGTTTTCACTTAGGTATATCTGTTTAGAGATGTTGTTTATTGTACATATCCACTGAAAAAGAAAGTAAAATGGTACAATGAAATATACAATAATTCATACTGGTTTTCCCATGTCATGACTCATGTCTATTAGTCAAATTTCTCATCCCTTTCCTCCATGTCATTTTCTGCACATTTTCATATTTGTTTATGGGTTGGTACCAGCAATCCATCAGCAGAAGGTGCTGATGGTTACAGATTCCCCTCCCTCAGTCCCTTCTGAAAACAGAAAGTTTACTCCTTGGACTGCCAGACTGACATGAAATAACAACCATCTGGGTCAGTGGACTGCAGTGAAGATGGGGGTGAAATCACCCTTCCCAACTCCTCTATCTGCACAGGCAGGAAGGGTCTTGCAGCTTCAGGAATCAGTTTTAGAAGCACCAGAAGAGATTGCTGGGTGGGAAATGAAATCAAGGAAGATCTGAGCTCCCTGTACAAATATTGCTGGAACCAACCCTACATACTTAAGCAGCTTATTTGTTTAAAGAAATTCAAAATGTGGTGAAACATACACCTGAATGCATGACAGAATGTATAATTGCAAAAAAGTCACATAAACACACCAGAAAATTACATTCTACAGTAAAAATGAGTAAATGGCTCTTATCTAGTCAGAAGCATATGGTACCTTTAAAAGAACTGAGACTATTTACTGCATCCTCCATCAATCAGTTGCTGACAACTTACTGTTGAACTCACAGGAGAACTAAACCAATAAGTAGTTTTGCTGTAGAATTTAAAGCCTCTGGCCAAAAAGGATCAACAGGCATCCCAATTCTACACAAATCAGTGTAACACTGCTAATAACACTATGCCCTATCCTAAATGAATGCATGTTGTTGTTGTTCAGTTGCACAGTCGAGTCCGACTCTTTGCAACCCCATGGACCACATCACACCAGGCCCTCCTGTCTTCTGTCGTGCTCCGGAGTTCGCTTAATTTCATGTTTGTTGCCTCGATAACACTGTCTAACCATCTCGTCCTTTGCAGTCCCCTTCTTCTTTGACCTTCAATCTGCATATCTGACAGTAAATCCTATTTTACTAGTACCACAATGCTGGGAGCACCAACAGCCTAGAGACACATAACTGGATTACAATACACAGGAATGAAGTTATAACATCTAAAGTTCTGGCAGTTTCTTTTTGCCACTCTTCATAATTTCTAAACAGAGTGACTAGGTTCCACTAGTAATTTCCCTGAATGGAAGACATTTCTGTCTGTGAAGTTTGGCTTCCTCATCTCCCACTGCAGCCCAAAATGCCCCTCCAAAATGTTGTTGCTGGGAAACAGGGAACCCCACAGGAACAACATGAGGGGGGAGTCAGAGATCTGCTGCAGAAGGGGGCAACTGGCAAAAGCCACCTCCCCTTCTGTCCATGAAAATTCTCCATGGGATCTGATCCTGTATTTTTTATGCTGCCCTTAAAAGAGTGATAGAAAAACTGCCTTACAGCTATTTGGAAGTTTTGTTTAGTGTCAAATTTAACTTGGATGGTCAAGGTAAAAACAACAACAACAACACAACCTTATTTGGATAACAGTTCTAACTCCTTCCAGAGATGAAGTTATGTTAGTCTGTTGTAGGAAACACAACTAAGGGTTTTATGAACACAAATGTAGTGTGGAATAAGCTTTTATGGGTCACTTTTGTGATTTTACAACTGCTTTTTTGGTAAGTATACCTCCTCATAATCTTTTTTGCTCTCTGCCTGCAAAATAGAAGACCTAGAAGAAAAACAAAGAAGGAAAAATAATTGGGATTTACTTTTTCAAGACAGGGACTTTCACAATGTATTTTCTAGCATCTTTCATTTTGCTATATGCTATTCCAGATCTATGTTGAAAGGACTCATGTATATGCATTAATAAATGCTTGACCCTGAATATTAGTTTATATATTCATTATACATTAGTGCTCTCTAAATGCCAAATAGATTTTCAAATACATATCTGGACTATAGGATCTGTGTTAAGGGGAAAGTTCTAGATGTGCCCCTCACACAGCCGTATTCTACAGGTATCTACTTGCTAGTGCAGCTGAGCAAGGGGGGAAATGCCAGACACTACAGGGAGTTTACCTCTGGGAGATTTTTGCCACAATTGTGCAACACACTCAGCTTATAATAAGTAGAGAGATGGCAGATAAAGAAAAGAAATAGGAAGAATGCCCCTCATGACCTAAAGATGGTGATGATTTGATGCTGGAAGATCATGGAGTTTGATCCTATCAGCTTATCTTCTCGGTCCTGCATAATTCCCGCCCTCTACCTGCAATCCTCATCCTGTGTGGCTATTGTTCATGCAGGTATTATGGTACTCATCAAAGCCTTTTAAGTGGTCAAAAGAGGCCCCTTCTCCCACACTTGAATATATGCAAACATATACACTAGTATCCAACCCATATAGCAGTCTGTACCTTTTGATCAGAAGTCACTTGGGGGGGGGGTCATACCCTCACAACCTTATTGAGGAAAAAAGGTGTGCTTACCAAAGAACATCCCTCACCAAGTGCACGTTAATTTAATTGGCATTAAACAATCTGGGGCATAATGCCAACAGTGCCAACATATTATTCCAAAGTATAGCATATACAACTAACAAATACTAAACAGGCTTAATAATCCAAAAGTCTAACTCTGAACGCATACACTAGTATTCTGAACTTCAAAATATATATAAGCTGTCAGTGCACAGAGCAATCAAAATCCTAATAACGACATTAATACTAATTTTATTGTATTTAACAGAGACAGTGTTTTGTCAGCAATGACACATTTGATGTACTTGTCACTTTCCCATTCTGCTGAAAGATAACAAATACTGGTGTGCACCTCCGAAGACATCTCTTTAGCTGTTAGTCTCTGCAAAGATACAATTAAGTAGCTTGCATCCCCCCCTCCAATTGAATAGTTGAGAATGAATACAAACTTTTTGCCATCAAAAGATGTTATCTGAAAGCAGTATCTTCTGTCTTCACAGTCCACAGCCATGACTGAACAGTTGTCTATATCCATAACAAGTCCTCCAGCTACATCTCCTCGTGCCTGGCTCATTAAGTTTCCACCCTGAGTGAAATAAAACTGCCTGTCCCAACTGGAAGACACGAGCCCTGTTTTACTGACAAAAAGAAAGCAGATGGACTTAAGCATTGGGCGTGTGCTACTGCCAACTGCCCTCCCCGCAGCAGAATACTATAATGAAGAATTAATTTATTTACCCACAAACCAAAAATGTGGACTCTCATTGATAGTCTGGCACAATTTTGTTCAGTTATTAACCATTTGCTAAGTTTGAATTATGTGAAATTATCTACGACTCCTCAGAGACCAAGGACAACTTAAAACTGTGAGGGAAATATTAAAAAAAATTATTTCAGACCATGTTGAAATAAATAAATGGTATACTAAATAACACCTGAAGTATGCTTACATGAAACTGTACTATGAAGGATAGGTAAATTTTAAATTGTAGTGCTTAATGCACAGTTGCTCCTTTTATTAGGGGAAAGGAAAATCCTCCAACATCTACTATCACTCCTATGTGTCATGGAGTGTTAATTTCCACTCAACAGTTGGAGGAGTCTCACTGTCTCTCCTATGAGGTATTGGAAGGTTTTAGTCACAATGACAAATCAGGGTGTGCTGCTACAAAAAAAACATGAGCCAAGAGGATCCTCGGGTTTGTCAAAATCACGTGCAGCATACACTTTAAGACCTTTGACCAATTTCTATAGGAAAACCCATTTACTAACTTTCCCCAGGAATGAGTAAGAATTATTCAAGGAGAAGGCATGTAAAAAGCTTCCTTGACTAGTGGTAAGTCTCATGAAAGGTTGCTCTAACAATGGGGGAAAGTTTGGCAAGAATACACATAGAAAATTCCACCTAATCAACACCCTCAATGAAGAACACCTAGAAAGGGTACATAAATGAATAATAAATCTCTGGCACATTAAGACAGCAAAAGTAGAGCAACAGAAACATTTAAAAGGCAACAGTTTACTTGCCAACATCATCTAAAATTTGCCCTCTCTTCTAAAAGCAATTTTGTTTCTTTCAGGGCATGTAAACACAGGTTATCTGGCCAGACTGAATTCAATGGTGTTGAGAAGCTGTGTTTTTTTCTCCATTTCCCCCAGCACATCTTGATGCACTCATATACTTTCTGGGGTTTCCCCAGCTTTTCTCCTTTTCAAATCTGCTTTGTTGGAAAGTTTATGGAAAGTAAAGCCTTGATAGTGGCCATGTAGGTGAGAAAGTTTGGATTTCCCCATCCACATAGGAGCTATTTCCCCAACACTGTTTCCACAATGGTCATTCCTCCCTCTGCCACCAGGGGGCTTGGTATGTTTGTTTGTTTTTAAATAGTAACTGAATATAGTTACATTGACACAACATTATAACAATATGTGAAACAGGGTCTCTGAATTCCCAGCCCTTGTTCACGAAAATCTCTATAATAAATAATAAACAAACAAATCTCTAACCCCTTCCATTGCAAGGAACAGGCATATCTTCTCAACAAAAGGAAGACTTCCTTTTTAAATGAAAGCTGGAAATTCAGAGAACTTGTGCTTATTGTTATACTGCTATAATGAAAGTCAATTTCAGATTTAAAAGGGAAACAATTACCATACTGGAGGACTGGGGTTGGGAAACCTGCTGTACAGAAGTACCCACCCATTGCCACTGCACTGATCAGCAGCCACACTAGCCACGGAAGAACCACACAAGTCCATCCATATGCAAAAGCCACCTCATTCAATTTCTTTGTCTATGCCTTACATTGCTACTGAAAGTATTCATTTAGTTATTTCAGGATAATTCATCTGTAACGGTTCTCACTTTCTTGCATTAAGATAACCAGCTTTCCGAGTAAGGTTCCGTTGGCTAGGAAATTTTGTAGTATCAGGGTCAGGCAAATACAGCGGGTCACTGGCTACCTCCAAGTCTTCTATAGTCTGCTGCATAGTCTCTACTTCACGATCCATTTCCCTGCGAACACTAAAAAGTACAGAACAAATGTTCAATGCCTCATGTAACCACAGATAATGGCTAAAAAGAGGCAGGCCATTCATTTTATAGAGAAAATTAACTTACTCCTGCACACTTGTTCCAATGTTTGTTAAAAACTCTTCTAGCTGTTCAGTAAGATTTTCTGATCCCATCTTGAAGAAGCTTATCTTTTAGAACAGAGAATGCACAAATTTAGCTGCAAGTAATTAATTTCTTCCCACACATCTAAATTGTGTTTCTGTTTTGTAGTAGGTATATATATAGACATAGGAAATCAGTTCAGTTGCATTGTACAATTAAGATTAAGAGAAAGCTGAGAGGAAAACCACTATCAATAAGTCTTCGGTTCTCAATTATACAAGGTTTCTCCATACTGTGAGAAATAATTGCCTGCTATAAGGAGGGACAGCTTCTTCTGGACAAACTGTGTGTGTATACACACACACTCCTTCTTCTCACCAGAAACACCAGACAGGCTCAGCAGCTGAGAGCCCTCAACCTCCCATCAAGTATTTCTGAAGTGTATTATTACAAGGTGACACTAATGTCTTTACTTAAAGAGAAAAGAATGAAGACGGGCGAGCTGAGCATCCTGTTGACAGATGAAAAACTTTTCCATACAATAGCCTACAGCACTCTGTATTACCTACTGTTGTTAGGCTACATTTACTACAGCGTATATTTGACCTCACATGCTCTTTTATTTACCCAAACCGTACATACATAGTTTCAGAACACCAGCTTTTTAAGACATTCACCTGAGCTTGCATGTATCCTAATAAAGGTTCTAACATAGCGATTTTCTTCTTGTACTGAAGAGTATTTAATGCACAGAAATAATGCATCATAGTCTGATGTTGTTTCTTCCTGGAAGTATACACATCTTCTGTAACTTCATATTTGACCTTAGAAGAAGAAGAACTTTGATTGAAGGCATAGGAAATGACATGAGTGAAGGTTTTCTTATGTTCCACTGGAGACCAGACATATATGTTGCAATTAAAAGGGATGTACTGCATCACCAACCTAGCAGTTCGAAAGCAAGAAATTGCAAGTAAATAGGTACCGCTTCGGTGGGAAGGTAACAGTGCTCCGCGGGCCTTGGCGTTTAGTCATGCTGGCCACATGACCACGGAAACGTCTTTGCTCAGTGCTGGCTCTTCGGCTTGGAAACGGAGATGAGCACTGCAACCCTAGAGTCAGATTCAACTGGCTTTTGAACAAGGGAAACCTTTACCTGTACCGCATCACTATTTATTACAACATGGGTTCCTTTTAATTATCTGAGGACAGTCTAAAAGCAGAACAACCCAATTATTTTCAGGATTAATATATTCTTCTCCATACTGGCTTATAATCACCACCTATACAATGGGAAGGTAGCCTTCTTTTTCTTCATACTACTTCCAGGACTGCCAGACAGACTTGGTATGGAAAGCAGTGCAGTATGTGGCATTTTAAAATTATTAGGTATTATGACAGAATCACAGAGTTGGAAGGGGCCATACAGACCATCTAATCCAACCCCCTGCCCAATGCAGGACCAGCCTAAAGCATCACTGACAAATATTCGTCCAGCCTCTTCTTGAAAGCTATCAGTGAAGGGGAGCTAACCACCTCGGTAGGCAGCTGATTCCACCTTTGAACCACTTACAAATCATTCTATAAATGAAACATACAGGCTGTATTGAAAATTGGTCAGACCTTCTCATTTTCTCTTTTTTTTGACAGACGACTATATCTGGTGATGGCAGCATCATGATCTGCAAAAGAAAATTATATTTTTATTCTGTACTTCCATCGAAGAGTTTCTACATTACGTACCCTCTTAGCAACACCGAAATTTATAAACGTTAGGGGAAAATAAGATATATTTTTCACAGAAGAAAGTTCACTGCCCACCACAGAACTTCTTTTAACCAACATGAAAGTTTTAATTATAAAAAGCAGACTTTATTTTGAATATATCAACATAATCAAAATAATTATAGTACTACTATTACCTGTGTTACCAATCCTTCCAGAAATATTTGCACAGACTAAATCCCCTGAGACTCTAATTCACTAATCATATTTCATCAATGTTATTTCCTTTTTCTAGTTCACAGGATGAAGACCCCTCCAAAAAACCTTTAATATCAGGGATTTGCCAGACATTTTCCCCAGACACCCCATTTAAAATTTGCCATGACTTCAGATTTTGAGACCAAAGGATAATTATTTTAGCTGACAAATCAGCAAACTATCAGCCTAATCCTAATAGGAGTTATACCCTTCTAAATCCATGGTAGTCACCAGGTTTACAAGGGCATAATTCTTGTTAAGACTAAATTATAAGTTTCTGAAGTCAGAAATAAAGGTGCTGTTAATGTTTCAAGTGCCCTGAAAAACATAAACCACAAGATTCGTAAATTCTGACTATTTACAATCCAACCTCAGGTCATAAATTTACAAAAGGAAATTAATCTTTAAGTTATACTTACCATTGCTTGAGATCTGGAAAACTTCTTTTAAAGTCAATATCTCTGAAATGCATATATATTAAGGTACAACACAACATTAGTGTAGTTTTGCTGATAACATAAACAATACAAATAAAGCAGATTAACTGATTTCAGATGTCTGTTGCTACTGCTCCTTAAATATCTAACTGTACCCTAATAATCAAACTCCAAAAATTACTTACAACTTGGGGCTTTATATGGCAATATAAAAGTTTTTATTCAATAATAAAAGTATATTTGCTCAAATTTTGTTTACTTTTCTTCTTTAAGCATGATCAAAGTTCACTATAGTCATAACTTAAACATTCACAACAATATATAGTAATACACATAAGAAGATGGTCATTTCATTTATTCCTAACAGGTCACTGGGTTTAGACCATAAACCATGACCATTTGCTTACAATCATTCCTATAGATGACAATCATTCTCTGCATCACTCTCTTTACACAAAATTAAAGTTCAGTTGACATTCAACAGCCAGAAAAAGTTAGGTGCAGAAATAACAGGAAAACATGTTAACTGTTACAGAACGAACCCTTATGTATAAATATAGTTTGTAATGTTAACTACTGTACCTTTTAAATCCCTTTCTTTAAACTGAGTAATGGGAAACATCATGGCATCGGCTAACTGAGTTGACAGAACAGCATGACACGAACTGAGCTAATGAAAGGGGGGGAAGGAACAGGTCAGTAATTTTGACTACAAATATGTAGGATTACCTCTGCTTTACAGTGACCTGGATTTAAGTATCTCAGTAGCTGAAATTAATGGAGCTTTAAAATACAGCTCAATTTCAGCAGGCTCACACACTTAGTTTTTACTAAAATGCAAGAGTTTTTAATCAGATATTTTCATAAGTAATGCTAAGAATGCCTTTTGGTCTGCACTAGGAGCTCAAATATTGTTCATTCAGTATCTTCCTCCATGGGCTTGTTTTTTTGCCAGTTCTTTGTGCTCAAACACACATTTTCCCCTTATTCTGTTTCCCTTTACTAGTCATTATTTGTGGAGCTCTTAAAAAGCTAGTACTGTTCAATTGGTTGGGTTTTTTTTAAAAAAAATGTATAACTGTGGTTGACCTTCTCCAGTGCTTAGTTTTGTTTTACTTTTAATATTTACTCCTAAATTAGATTGTAAAGCAATTGGCAGAACTTGTCTTTTTATGTATTTTGTATGGTGCATTTTTTTTTTGTATTCCACAAATAAATAGTAATACAGAAAGCACACATGAAGCTTCCTTATACTATATCAGACCATCAGTCTATTAAAGTCAGTATTGTCTACTGGCAGTGTCTCAGTCAGAGGACTTTCTCATCACCTACTGCCAGACCCTTTACTGGAAATGCCAGTGTTTGAACCTGAGACCTTCTGCATGCCAAGCAGATGCTCTACCACTGAGCCGTGGCCCACTTGTACATTTTTGATACTGTGGCTTTTAAATTTAATTTCATAAATGTGGAAAATCAGAATATCACTCATAACATCACTTCTGAAAATGCTCTTAGTCTTTAGTTAGAAACCACATATGTTCATATAAAATGTATGCCATATATCCTTTCTGTTATATTCATATTACACATTAACTTACTCAGCTGTGAAATGATGTCACTGAAAACATAGATTTCAATTCACCAACCCCAACATATTGCCTTTTATCTACAATGTTTAACATAATGGGGCACCAGTTCTAAACACCCCCCCTATACAATGGCAACATTAACTGTATGAAAAGGGGAAGAACTGTCATAGTTTTAACTAAAAGAGCTAGACTCAAATCCAGTGGCACAGTGGCAGCAGTGGAACCCAGAGGAAGCCTCACCTATGGGCCAAAAAGTAGCAGTTCCTCCAGGAGCAGGCAAGGCACCTCGCACTAGCAGCCTGATGGGCCTAGCAGAAGTGGGGGCGCACCACCTGCAGGAGAGTCTCTCTCATCAGGCAACAGCTGAGCATAGCAGCAGGAGGTTTGCCATCCCAGGGCATTAGCTGGGAGCATGGGGCCTCTGGCTATACCTATGCAAAACCAGCTGGGATAGGGCAAGGCAAGGAAGGGGTTAAGAGAGGAACAAGACTCAGAGAAGGGAGGAGCAGTTCTGGGCTTGGCCAGCACAGCTGAAGTCCCAGGGATAAAAGGGGAAATGTCAGAAGAAACAGAAAAGATGAGGAAGGCAAGCGGACTAGGAAAGGCTGAGAGGGTATAAAGGTAAGAAGAGGAACCTAAATTAGGAGCTGGACAAGATAAGGTTTCCAAAATTGGGAAGGCCTAGTAGAACTGCCCCAAAGCAGAGATGCAGCTTAGCCCCCAGAGGTTTTGAAGGGGCAAGAGTGGGTGGGTAAAAGAAACTGCACTCATGACGAAGGCATGTGTGGACACTGCCAATTCCAATACAGAGACGTTTAAAGAGCACCATTGTACCCAGTGATTCTCTGCTGCCCATGGAAGTCAGTTTCCACAGAGACCAACAAGTTTTTCCAGGTATGACCTTTCAAGAGTCAAAGCACCCCTCATCAGAGAGAGCTTTGACTCTTGAAAGTTTATACCGTGAAAATCTTACTAGTCTCTAAGGTGCTACCTCGTCTACTGCTGACCAATATGGTTGCCTTCTGAAACAGTTTAATTAAAAGTTCAGTATGTTTTGGACTACTGTAAAAAAATCACTATGGCTTACCATACATGAGTGCCAGTCTAGACAACATACTCAGCCTTACCTCATCTATCACTTTTGCAAACTGCTGCAGAGTAGAATTCATAACTTCATCATCACCACCCAAAGGAAAGCGCTACCAAAACACAACATACGCACACTGCTTTTTACTTCCAAATAAACCTTGGTTGACTTTTTTCCTGTTACAATTCAGATTAGAGATCTAACGACATGCACTAATATGAAAAGGTATTTATAGCTTTGCAGAACAAAAGCTCACAGAAGAAAGTAATTCTGTCAGGATATTGTGGGCCAGGAAAAAGATATTGTCTACAACTTGCCTCCAATAGGTTAGAATGTTAGCCAGTTTTAGCAGGGTATACTGTACATTTGAGCTCCTGAGCACCTAATTAAATTCTATTAATTTAACTAAAAATGACCAGGTTGCTATAAAATTTATTTATTTATTTCAATTTCTATCCCGCTTTCCCCACAAATGGGTTCAGGGGGAGTTACGTCGTCACACAAAAATTGTGACAACAATAACATTAAAAACATTTTAAAACAATGCTAAAAACAACAATCACTGTGAAAGCCTCATTAGCTATGTTCAGTTTAGGCTGATCAGAAGCCAGCGATTTCACTAGGGAAGGCCAGAGATGGATTTTGGATATCTGCTGCCTCAGCCAAAAGCCCGACAGAACAGCTCCGTTTTACAGGCCCTGCGGAATTGTAACAAATCTCGCAGGGCCGTGATCTCAAGTGGGAGCTTGTTCCACCAGGTTGGGATCAGGGCAGACATCCTTGGGGCCAGGGACAACCAGTAGATGTTGGTCAGTTGAGCGCAATGCTCTGCAGGGCACAAACTGAGATATTTATTTTTTTTATATAGTGGAAATGCTAGTTTCAGTTTAGAATGACAACTTCTTTACCATTCACTTCTGTCATGATCTGGACTGTGCCACCAGAGGCCTAGCAGGACCAGGGAGCCTGGCTAGTACTAGGGGAGGCTGAGCCTACAAACCCCAGAAGGCCTTGGGAATTTTGGCGCTGATTTTGACCAATAGGGAAGAAGAGGGCTGGGGAACAAAAGAGCTGGTACAAGAGGAAAAGCTGTTCTTCCCAGGAAACAGGACCAGAAGAAAGAGGCTGTTGTGGGGAAGAAACCCTCATCCAGAGGGAAGGGTGAGTAGTCTAAGGCCACTTGAGATAGTGAGCTAGAGACAGTATATTCAGACACGTTAGGGCATTTGATTCCTTTTCTTTTCACCCACTTACTGTTATTATTCCTGCACCTTATTTGTTGGACCTCCTATAAAATAAACCTTTTCCTTGTTGTTTACTCTGCCTGGTCCTCACACCTATTATTCGGCCAAAAGGGAGGTCTGAAGGTCTTGGGAGGGTGCTCTGGGCCTTCTCAAGGGATCCTGAGTGGTGGCAGCGTCAGGTGGCACCCCATCTGAGCAGTGACAACTTCTTATGCCAGTATTTTCATATGCAAGAATTAAGCAAGCAAAGCTTTTCAGAGCATGGAGAAAGAGGGCATGGGAAAAAATCACTTGTTTAATTTCTGCATGCTAGGATACTACTATAAGACACCTTAAGAAGTTGGCAATACTAATCAGAACTTAAACCTAATATCTCATTCCATATGAGGACTATACCTGCTGCTCGTATTCTTTCAGAAGCTTCGAAGTTAAATGTGTTGCTGCACTTAATTCATTCTATTAAAAATACAAAGACAACAACTGATTTCTTATTCTGCTTGATAATGAAAAATACTATGGATTTCATACATACACCACTCTTTGTTTTAGCATGTAGGATGGCCATAATGGGATGATGCTTACAATGTTCTGAAATGGCTGGTCATTCTAATGCTTAGCTCATCTGCAACATAACCCATCTATTAAAGTTGTCAATTTTAACCCTACATGTAACAAACTGTAACTGCAGGTAGTTGCAGATAAATTATGCCAACAATATATGATCAAATTCAGATTGTTTGGAGACTTGTCAAGCCAACAGAAAATGGGCCAACATTCAAAACAGCACGCAAACATACACAGTACTTACAGAATCATAATCTACAATGACTTAAATATTTGCCTAATAAGTATTGATGATGCAGTGCATAAATCTAGATAGTTTCAGATTAGAAGCAAGCCACATCTCTGAAGCGTTTTGAAAAGTTCATTCAGTTTTATAAGAATGATCCTAAATGAAGATGTGTCACATAACTTCAGTCCAGCAAACAATCCTACCTTTCTTATGACAAAATCGAGCCATAAGTAACACGGAAATGCTACAGCAAAAACCCAGGCCAACTTTGTTAGCACACAAAGACTTTTTTTTAAGCTGAGCTGATGAAATACAAGACTGAAATAACATTAGAACAACATTCAAATCCTATCAGTTGCACTGTTTTGAAAAGCTGATTCAAGTTGCAGTAACATTACCTGGGCATCATAAATTCGGTGCATGGCTTTATATAACTGGTTAATGTAACGAGATATTGCCGCAGCATCTTCTTCAAATACACCCAGCAAAGACCGAGTCTAAATAAAGAGAATGTATTTTTATAGTATTGCAATATAGAATAACAGCTAGATTCAAAGAGTTCTCTCTTGAGCACCCAAGAACTAAGTGGGAAGAAAAATGAATGTTACTATATGTTTGGCATGTATTTACGGGCTTCCAAACAGAAAGCACCCCACTCCTCAAAGCCAGAGTGAGACAGAGCCTTACTTTGTACCAGCTCAGATGGCACAGGTACAAATAAGCCTATAGCCTATAAGCATGGGCATGAACTGGCTCACAAGCCAAAATTCAAGATGAACTTGGGCCTGTTTGGAGCCCCTGAACCGATGTTCAAGGAAGGCACCTTCCCCGAACATTTACTGGACTTTTGTCTGGTTCAATTCAGCTGTTCAGGGCCATTTAAACCTAACAGCAGATGCCCCGCTGTTAGATTGAAATGACTACAAATGACCACTGGTTTCACTACCCCCTACTTTAAAGCCGGGGGGGGGGGAGCGAAACAGACAGGTTAAATGGCGGCCAGCCATTTAACCCTTCCTGGGTAATCCTCCCCTCTTTTCTCTCTCTCTTTTAATGTATAACTTTTATAATTATAACATATATTATGCTTATTTCAAATCTTAAACACGTGAGTCTTACATACAATATTTCCAATATTTACATCTCCACAATTATTGGACATTTCCCTAAATTAATTTCCCAATCCACTTATACATTCTTAACCATAGTTCTTTATGTATTTATTCATCTTTCCCTTGTAATAAATTAGTTAACCTGTCCATTTCCGCCAGTTCAAACAAGTTCTGGACAAGTTCTTCCCTTGACGGGATTCTGTCAGCTTTCCAATATTTAGCAACCAAAATTCTAGCTGCTGTTAAAATATATACTATCATACATACATCTTGTTTATTATACCCATCTGGAAAGATGTTCAATAGGAATATTTCTGGTTCAAGGTGTAGTTCGATACCTATCATTTCTTGTATAATCCTTTGGATCTCTAAACCAATACTTTTTTATTTTGCTGCATGTCCACCACATATGGTAATATGTTCCCACATTCTTCTTACATTTCCAACAATTACTCGATAGCTTTGAGTAACATTTAGTTAATTAATCTGGTGACCAGTGCCATCTGTAAAACATTTTGTATATGTTTTCCTTGTAGGAAATGGGTCTAGTAATCTTTATTATTTTCCATATTTTTGCCCAATCATCCATATAGATATCATGATATCATGTTTTGCACCCAGGTTACAATCCTCCCCCCTTCTCCTGTCTACAGAGTGAACTGAACTTACTGGTCTGGCTCAGGTCAGGAGCTGCCCCAAATCAAATCAGATTTCTTAGGTTCGTACCCATCCCTAATAGCCTATGTGGTTCGGATAGCCTTTAGTATGCTGGACACTTAGATTTTCAAAGTCCCTCACAAAAAGCTCATAAAAAACTAAGCAGTAGTTTAAGCTGCTGTTAAAGCCTTTATTAGGCAGCAGTTATAGCCACTATGAATTAAGCACCATCTCAGATATGACAATCATAAAAAATCCCCAGCCCAGTCGGCAAGAAAGGGATAACACCACTGGACTACATTTTTTAAAAACTCCACTGTTTCTCAGCCTCTGTTATGCAGTAGATCCTAGCCATTCCTAGGGAATCTGTTTCCTAGATCACTGTGAATGGTAAAATCCACTCTGACTGGGAAACAGGGTTCTGATGTCTCCTAATAATACCCCATTTCTTACAAAATGTAATGATGTAATGACCAGAGTAACAAAGTAAAAGGGTCTGGAGACCTTGTGGAGAGTGCTCAAATTCTGAACAGTGAATAAGCAGCATATCCAAATCCATGAAAGGGAATGCAGTGGCTCAGAGGTTAAGATGCTGAAGCTGCAGATCAGGAGGTCTGTAGCTTGGCAGTTTGAGACCCGAGTGCCGCATCATGGAGTGAGCTCATGTCTCTGGCCCCAGCTCCTGCCAACCTAGCTGTTCGAAAGCAAGGAACTGTATAAATATGTACCACTTTGGTGGGAAGGTAACAATGTTCCGTGCACCTCGGCAGCCACATGACCACAGCCACATGACCACAGACACGTCCTTGGACAGAGCTGGCTCTTTGGCTTGAAAATGGAGATGAGCACCACCCCCTAGAGTCAGATTTGACTAGCTTTCGAGCAAAGGAAACCTTTACCTTTTTATCTTTACCAAGTCCATGAAGGACTAAGGTCTACTGTACATGCCATCTTGAAGGATAACAAAAGACTACAACAATGGACAGTATATGAACACACATGATGCTGCCTTATGCTGAAACAGATCCTTGGTCCATCCAAATCAGTACTATCTACTCAGACTGGCAGCAGCTCTCCAGGGTTTCAGGCAGAAGTCTTTCACATCACCTCCTTCCTTGTTCTTTGAACTGAAGATGCTGGGAATTGAACCTGGGACCTTCTCCATGCTAAGCTACTACTGAGCTACAAACCCTCCCCAAAAAGTAACAAACATACACAAACACTGCAATTGTGTGATGCACAGTGATACAAGCCATCCCATTAAGACTGTCGAACTCTTGCTCAAGGGCTATTCACTTAATTTCCTGATTATTAGAATTCAGGCAGCAAGTTACATAACTGCTATTTAAGAGAGCTTGCCTGTCAAACTGAAAAATTAATTGCTGCCTCATATGCTTCAGCAGCCTTCTGAAGCATTATTTGTGGCTCTTTTGTTCACTGGCTTGGATCCTGCAGTGGACTTCCCCGGACAGAAGCGATTTCCCTCCCTATGCAGCCCAAAATGTCCCCAGAAATGCTGCTCTTGGAGGAAGGGGACACCAGGAACAGCAGGGAAGGGAGTCAAAGGTCTGCAGAAGAGGGGATTGGCAGAAATCACACACCCCTTCCACCTGCAAAAATCCTCTGTGTGATCCACTCCACTGCTTATCGTTTTATATTAATGTTTTAGTGTTAGTATTCGTTTTACGCTACTAATTGCTGCCTTGCATATCCCACATTAGACAAAAAGGTGGGATGGAAAAATTTTAAATAAATATGGATGTTAATACCAGACCTTTTTTTCTCACTACTTAGCAAAGCAAGTATTCACAGGATTTTTTAAAAATTCGGCAACTAAAAAAAATGACGTTTTGTGAAATTCTTTGTTTCAATTTAAGCCGGGGAGCAAGACCTGAGCAAGGCTGTTAATGATAGGATGTTTTGGAGGACCCTAGTTCATAGAGTCACCATAAGTTGGATACAACTTGAAAGCATACATAGGCGAGGGAGAGGGTTTATCATGCCTTAAAAACCCTCCAAGAATAAAGATCTAGATTTCTATACTACCTCCTACAAGCGACTCCTAAGTTACTACTCTAGCAAGAGGTAGTCGCACTGTAAAGAGTAAGCAGGAAATCTGATATAGAATTATAGAGTTGGAAGGAACCTCCAGGGTCATCTAGTCCAACCTCCTGCACAAAGTTTAGCAGAAAACTCTTCTGATTTAGTTTCAACCCGTTGGTTCTGGTCTGACCTTCTGGGGCAACAGAAAACAACTCCACTTCATCATCTATAATGACAGTGATTCAAGTACTTGAAGATGGAGATCATATCACCTCACCTCTCCCGGCTAAACAAAACCAGCTCCTTCAACCTTTCCTCATAGGACTTGGTCTCCAGACACCTCACCATCTTCGTTGCACTCCTCTGGACATGTTCCAGCTTGTCTAAATCTTCCTTAAATTGTGGTAACCAAAACTGAACACAAAACTCTAGATGACATCTAACCAGAGCAGAGTAAAGTGGTACCATCACTTTGCATGATCTGGACACGATACTTCTGTTGATACAGCCCAAAATTGCATTTGCCTTTTTGTCAAGATCATCACACTGTTGACGCATCTTCAGTGTACGGTCTACTAAGACCCCTACATCCTTTTAGCACATTCTACTGCCAAAACAAGTCTCCCCCAATCTATAATTATGCATTTGATTTTTCCTACCTAAATGGAGAACTTCACATTTATCCCCATTGAAATTCACTTTATTTGTTTTAGTCCAATTTTCCAGCCTGTCAAGATCATCCTGTATCCTGACACTGTCTTCTACCGTATTCGCTTTCACTCCCAATTGAGTATCATCTGCAAATTTAATAAGCATTCCCTCTATTCCTTCATCCAAATAGCTGATAAATATGTTGAACAAAACAGGTCCCAGGACAGATCTTTGAGGCACTCCACTTGTCTCTCCTCTACAAGAGGATGAGGAGCCATTCACAAGCACTCTTTGGGTGCAATCTGTCAACCAGTTTCAGATCCACCTAACAGTCACAGGATCTGTAATGATTCCATTTTTGGTGTGTGTGTTCCTTTAAATGTTTAGTTTGACTGCAGTAATATGAGAAGAGTGATAGAGGGAGATAAGTGTGATATGATTGGCTGATGACTGAGAGTGTGGAAGGAGATGTTCTGAGAGGAATCTCTGTGTGTGTGTTTATGGTAGATTCTGTGTGTAAGGTTTGAAGAGTGAGCATGATCTGTGTGACTGGAATTTTGAGTCTAGTTCTGTGTGAATAAGACCAACAGTTTAGTTTGTGTGACTAAGAGAGTTGATTGTATTCAGTGTGAACAAAACAAAGAGACTGTACGGCTATATATATAAGAGGGAGAGAGTATACTGAGTGTATAAGCCTGTCAAAGTGGAGTTTGGAGGTTGAGAGCCTGTTTGCACCACCAAGCTTTGCCAGTTATATTTACAAGTTCCTTTCTTCAGCAACTGTTCAAAATAACCAGAAACCTATTTTGTTCTTTATTAAATAAATCAATTTTTGTTTAAACTTATCCCAGAAATCAGTACAGTACTTCCTCAGGGCCACATAGTCCTCTGACGTGCCCAGACTCTAGGTCATACTACCAAAAGAGAAAGAATTGGAATTTTTAATTTCTGGTGGCAGCAGAAAACTACCAAGTTTATATACACAGAGAATGTTTAAAGGTAAAACAGTCCCCCCAATAAGCGAGGACATCACA